CATATATATATATATGGCTTATTCTTAAATTTATTGACCAAAACATCCTATGTTTTGGAGTTTATTTTCAATGTTTAAGTGAATATAATGAAAAGCTGTAAAGTACTGGCCTAGTACTTAACTGGAATGTAAATGGCTGTTTTGCATGTGTCAGTAACTAAAGAATCCATCTGGTAGAAATATAAAGTATTTTTTTGTGTGCCACTCCCTTTGCCCAAGATGAATGAACTCATTTCTCCAAATAGGTTCCACTGAATGATGAGTTTTTGTTTGCTTTTTAAATTAAAAAAAGTCTTGAAGTGATAGTTGTTGGTCGGAGTGCAGATGCTATGAGAACCCATCTTACGGCTGTTTCAGGTGTTTATTTTAATCATACCTATCTGTTCCAAACAGTGTGTCTTGTCTTCCTCATACACTCAGTGGGGATTGACCAACTGCCAAATAAACCTTTAGAGACTTTGAAGACCCATTAAAAAGCCAGGCAAAATAAATATTGGCTCATGGTCACATGAGATTCAGATATCACATTAATTGTAAAAGGAGGAAGTGTGACTTACTTTACATTGTGATTGGTTAAAATTCAATGGCGTTTTCGTGTGTACTGTATACTCCTCTGGCCAAATAAAGCACTTGAGTAAAATTAGAAATGATGCCATTAATTATTGGACTGTGTGTCCTGTCATCTCTTTTTACAGGCTGTAGATCACATTTCAATTATAACTCCTTTCTTTAACAAAAATATTGATATTTTTCTGTGGCCATCTCTAAGAAATCTACACATACATACCCTAGCATCTGTGGATTTTATTCTTTTCCATTATTTGATCCCCAGTTTTAAATGGACAGAGCAACCTGACATAAGCTTACTATTGCAAAAAGGGAAATGTGCTCCCCCAGAAAATGGGAGAAGGATTGCAGTTCAAAACCAATTTTTAGGAGGTTATGAAGTCTCACTGAATTATGATCTATAACGTTTGGGTCTCAGTAGGGGTAACCTAAGGTGTTTGAGAGAGGCAGTTTTAAACTAGATTTGAATCATTTTATCATTTTCTGGAGCAGACTATTTTTATGCTTGTTCAGGACAGAAATTATGTGAGCAATATACTTAATATTACGTAATACGTGAGTGTGTTGTATGTACTTAAATAGTTTTATTAAAAAAAAAAGCCCCTCTTTTGGCCCCATTCCATGAGGAATGAGAAGTATTTATTTATTTATTTATTTATTTTTTTAAGATTTTATTTATTTCAGAGAGAGAGAATGAGAGAGAGCATATGAGAGGGGGGAGGGGCAGAGGGAGAAGCAGACTCTCTGCCGAGCAGGGAGCCCGATGCGGGGCTCGATCCTGGGATTCCAGGATCATGACCTGAGCCGAAGGCAGTCGCTTAACCAACTGAGCCACCCAGGCGCCCGAATGAGAAGTGTTTAAAAGACATAGGACGAAGAGAGATGGTGCAATTTGTGGGAAAGAGATTCAGATTTTTTTTTTTTTTTTTTTTGGTAACCCCAGCACCTTAGCAGTCTGGGATTCAGATTCTTAGATTATGCTGTTGTTGTTTCATTCCCTTACCCCAGAGAGAGAATATTTAACTCACAGGGAATTCTGTTTTTAAGAGCTTGAATCACTTGATTGAGTTAACAGTAAACACAGTGAGTCTGTCTGCTTCTTTGCTATTCTTTCCTTCCTTTATCCTCTGAATTTAACATCGCATTACCCTAATCCATTTGGTTCTTCAAATGAAACAATCAGGTATAGTCTCTTAAAGTCCATGTGCATGAGATAATATAATCATGTCTGATTGTGACAGATGGGAAATAGTGGGTTAAGTTTTGCTGTTTTCTTGTCGGTGCTGTCATTCCTTGTGGAGAAAAACAGGTAATCATAAAAATGCTTCTCTAGAAGAAATATGTTAAACCCCAAAAGAAAATTTTTTTCATAAAATTTAAAAAACAAGGCCTGAAACTTTAGTTTCTGTTTCAAATTTTGACTCTTCATAGCTCCTTGTAATGTTTTCATTAACTTAAAATGCTAGGTGAAATGAATTGAACTAGGGGCACCTGGGTGGCTCAGTCGTTAAGCATCTGCCTTCGGCTCAGGTCGTGATCCCAGGGTCCTGGGATTGAGTCCCACATTGGGCTCCCTGCTTCGCGGGAAGCCTGCTTCTCCCTTTCTAGCCCCCCCCCTCCGCTTGTGTTCCCTCTCTTGCTGTCTCTCTCTATATATCAAAATAAATAAATAAAATCTTTTTTAAAAAATGAATTGAACTAGTTCTCTAGGAAATCTCAGTAGTTAATATGAATAAAAACATAACCTCATAGATTTTATTGAATTTTTACATGTACTTAATATTTGTTCTTTATCTAAAACAGTTGATGGGTCTGCTGGCTGAGCCTGGAAATTGGTTGTGAACTTGGTAATTGTGAGAATATATTTGCACACGTGACTGGAAGGATAGAATTTAATAAAAGAAAGGACAAATGGCATCAAGTATGATTGGGGCCTGACTTACATGTAGAAATAGTGTTAGCAGAGATCTCAAAGTCTGTGTAGTTCTGGGTGAGCATCCTACTGAGAGTATCAGGGTCTAAAAATATGCTCCATTGACTCAAAACCACTGTCTATTCTCTTTTGAAAAGCTCATTTGTTTTGCCTTTGTGTCTTGCCATTCCTCTGAAGAACAGGAGGCACATTATAAAACCAGATACTTCCCCTTGCATTCTATGAGGTAGGTAGAATGTGTTACAGTAAGTACTTTTTTAGAACTTTGAACCTTAATTCAACCCCCCCCCCAAAAAAAAAGTGATTTGCAGTGTTGTATTTCTGTGTCTTGCTGTTGACTTGGAGATGAGATTATGCTGTTGTCATTTCCTACCTTTATTGCTGGGTATGTGGTGGGGTTCAGACAGTTTGGCAGGTACAGTTTTATAGTGTGGGTGGATCTTTTCATGAAGCTCTTTTTTGTTGTTATAATTGCTCTATATTATTGTTGGGTTTTGTTGTTAATCTCTTTGGGTGCCTAATTTATAAATTAAACTGTATTGTAGGTGTGTGTGTAGAGGGAAAAAGTAGATGTAGGGCTCAGTACTATCCATGGTTTCAGGCATCCACTGGGGTCTTGGAACATATCTTCCGTAGACAAGAGGGATAACTGTACTTTGTTCCTTCTTCCATGGCAGGAGTCTTCTGTTCTATATGCAAGTTATGCACGAAGCTCTTTTTTAAATTAATTTTAAAAATATTTACTTATTTGAGAGAGAGAGAGAGTGAGTGGGAGGAGGGGCAGAGGGAGAGGGAGAGAGAAAGTCTCAAGCAGACTCTGGGTTGAGCATGGAGCCCAGTGTGGGGCTCGATCTCATGACCCTGAGATCATGACCCGAGCCAAAACCAAGAGACGGTTGCTCAACCGACTGAGCCACCCAGGTGCCCCTGAAGCTCTTTGATATTAACTTGATCCCTGCTGAACATTTCTCTTAGTCAAGGTGTTGAGTAGGTGGGGCACCTGGGTGGCACAGTTGGTTAAGCATCTGCCTTTGGCTCAGGTCATGATCCTAGGGTCCTGGGATCGAGCCCCACATCGGGCTCCCTGCTCAGTGGGGAGTCTGCTTCTCCCTCTCCCTCTCTCCCTACTCATGTTCTCTCTCTGTATCTCTCTGTATCAAATGAATAAATTAAAAATAAATTAATTAAAAAAAATAAAAACAAGGTACCACAGGAGGCCAGAGGCTGAGCTTTTTGGTGATCAGTCCAGGAATTACTGATGTGAAATCTTTTTTTTTTTTTTTTTTAATTGAAACCTTTTGTTGAACTCACAGATTTGGGTTCTTTAAACAGTGTTTTTATGAGTAAATGCAGTGGGAATGGAAGCATGACTGACCATGTTTGTTTGAGTTTGAGGAATTCTTCATTTCCAGACAGTAAAATGCCTTTTCTCATGTCTGGGTCTCTTAGATTACAGCAAAATGGATATGCCAAATCCCCCAACGTCCAAATGCATCACTTACTGGAAAAGAAAAGTCAAATCTGAATACATGCGACTCCGGCAGCTGAAACGGCTTCAGGCAAATATGGGCGCCAAGGTCAAAAATAACCCCCGGGTTATCTATTTTAATATATTGATCCAATGTGGAGGGCTGGGCTTTTTAAAACTCTTCTCTTGAAATCCCAACCATTGTCCCCTTGGCTTTTCTAGGCTCTGTATGTAGCAAATTTTGCAAAGGTTCAAGAAAAAACCCAGATCCTCAATGAAGAGTGGAAGAAGCTTCGTGTCCAACCTGTGCAATTGATGAAGCCCGTGAGCGGGCATCCTTTTCTCAAAAAGGTACTTCTGGGTGTCTAAGCTCAGCCTTCCTCATTTCCTTGGGCTGAAGTTTGTTTTCTGTATTCGTGACGTATTAGAAAATAAATAAGGTTAATAGATACGGCTATTATAGTCAGCTTTGAATAACTAGGATGGTAAATCTGTAACTTAAATAGTCTATTCACCTATTATTCTCCTCAGTTAATGAGTATAATCATGAGTGTTTTGTTTTTTTTTAAACAGAAAAACAAAAAATTTAGTGTCTGATTTCCTGGGCTCTGTGTACAAGCTTCAAAACAACCTTGTTTGTGCCTTGTTTGGCATGTCTGGTACTTTGATATTGGAAAAGAAGTGCCCAGGATAATGGGCAGGAATACACTGATCAAAGGGATATTCCTTCTTATAAATCTAAAATTCATTTTAGTTTCTTAAAAAGAGATAATATTTTTAAAATATAAAAAGTAGGGGCGCCTGGGTGGCTCAGTCAGTTGAGCGTCTATCTGCCTTTGGCTTGAATTGTGGTCCCGGGGTCCTGGGATCAAGCCCCACATCGGGCTCCCTGTTTGGCAGAGTCTGCTTCTCCCTCTGCCTCTGCCTCTCCACCCCATCTTGTGCTCTCTCGCTCTCAAGTAAATAAATAAAATCTTTAAAAATAAATAGATTAAAATAAAATAAAATATAAAGAGTGGGTAGTGTATTGAAAGCAATTTTCTTTTCCAAAACAGAATATGACTATAGTTTCTGTACTGTTTCACTTCCCCTGTACTGTCTCCATCACCTCTGCAGCTAAGTTGATGTCAACTCTCTTAACGTTTAGGTCCTCAGGAAAACTTCCTCATCTCCTAGGACTTTGAGAGACCCTTTGCTGTTGTGTACAGCCCAAGGAGACCAGCAGCTTTAAATTGAAATAAACACCAGCTGAGTGTGAGAGGCACCGTGCTGGGAGTCTGTAGATGCCACAAAGATGAAGAAGAGATAGCCCCTGCTTTGCAGTGGTTTATAGTCCAGTGGTTCCTCTTAGGAGCTGATTGTTAAAAGCCCTCTTAACTTGTAAGAATTAGAAGACTACTGGGATCAACTTGGAAGGAAACTGCAGTTCTCTCTTGGGTTGTGTGCTTGCGTTTCCGTCTCCATTGTCTTTGCTTATATTTCAGTGTACCATAGAGAGCATTTTCCCAGGATTTGCAAGCCAACATATGTTAATGAGGTCTCTGAACACAGTTGCATTGGTTCCCATCATGTATTCCTGGTCCCCTCTCCAGCAGAACTTTATGGTATGTATTGAAAGCACTGGGGTAATTGTGTAAACTGTATGATTTTCTTATGTTTGTATGCTGGCACTTCTCTTAGGGTAAAGGTTGTCAGATTATACTTAACAAAGCTTGGACATGCAGGGCAGGCTGTTGTTGTAATATATTTACTCTAAATATATATGTGTATATATATAGCAAGTTGTTCTTACTTGTTAGGTTTTATGCTCCCTGAAGTGTACTTCTGAGTTAATGCTGGTTCCTTTTTGAATGAATGAGACTGGGCAAGACTCCAATTCTCCCTTACTACTTTGGCCCAATTTTGTAATGTGCAGTTAAATGCAGTCTAAATCAGACACTTGAGGCTTAAGGAGGTTGACATCTCCCTGCTGATGGAGCAGTCCTTTCTGAATCGCCTAAAGGCAAGATGCTATAAAAGCAACTGAGATAACAGAGGTGCACATGGATCCGTGAGCCTTTCATCTGGGCCTTTATACTGATTCCTACTAGGATTAGTTTTGGTTCTGATAATCAGTCCTCTCTAAATACTGCCATTGTTTATCATCTGCCTGGTGACAGTTCTGACTGGAATAGGATATAGGTTTACAAAAGGGAATCATCTGTTAGAATAAAACTTCACAGTAATTTTACTTAATACTTGGGGGATTAAAAACAACCGTGTTTTCTGCTGAACAACAACAATCCCAAAAATCCATTAGTATTGTTTCTTTAGCCAGGAAATGTTCATAGCTCATGCTGCAATCGACTTTAAGTTCCCACTGAGTGTGATTGACATGAGTTATAATCATAGTTTTTTATTATGATTATGGGAGGTTAGTCTTAGTCTGTATAATAGAATATCCAGAAACTTTATGGTTGCCCAGTTTCTGTACTAACTGTTCTAGTTATATTGCAGATTATACTCTTGGAAGCCTTCCTTTTCATCTATGTGTCTCCAGTTATGAGAAGAATTAAAATTGAAGACTTTTTAGACTGTTGTTTAAGTGATATTTGTACCTGTTTTACAATGATGTTTAGTAGATAAAATTAGATAATAGATGGAATCACTGTGAATAATAAGTATGCTGTTAGATTCTAGATGTTGGTGGAAATACCACTGTTAGTATCAGGCTAAACATTTGGTAGTTGATATCCTCAAGTAGTTAAACTTACTTTTTTCCCTAAGAGTAACATTGCCCCCTCCCACTTGAGGTTTTGCTGGCAAAACAAAATGGCCGGTCTTTAAAAATGCAGGAAACTCTGTAACCAAAGGCGTTTTCAGGAAATTCAAGCCGCAAAAAAGGCCCAGCAAAGATTCCATTAAACAGGAAAGAGGAGATGCCTAGTGGATTCATGGAATGAATCACATCTGGTTTGATTTCAGGTAGAAGATGAGACAGTTTTGTGCAATATTCCCTACATGGGAGATGAGGTGAAAGAAGAAGATGAGACTTTCATTGAGGAGCTGATCAATAACTACGACGGGAAAGTCCATGGTGAAGAAGGTATTGGTGCTGGGCTCTTTGGGAGGAAACTTTACTGGAGTGGTGCCCCTTCTGTGGTATATCATCATCTTGCTTTTATCTGCTGCCTCATGTGTACAGGCTGAAGAATATTTCAGTGTCATCACGTGGCTAGGAGTAAACATTTTGTATTAAAAATGTCCTCAGGGTTGGGGGTGGGATGTCCTCAGTCAGATTTTGTTTGTTTGTTTGTTTATTTTAGAGAGTGAGAGAACAGAGGGAGGGGCCAAAGGAGAGGGAGAGAGAGTCTTTTTTTTTTTTTTTAACAAAATTCACATTTTATTTAGGTTGAAATAA